ATGCTCTGGAGCCGGTGCCATCCCTCCTGCTACTCTTGCGGAGTTCACACTGAACGGTGCCGGGGGATTGGATTTCTACGATGTTAGCCTTGTTGATGGATACAATCTACCGATGATGGTCGTTCCAGACGGTGGAACGGGCGGTAATTGTAGCTCAGCCGGATGTGCTGCGGATTTGAATGGTGATTGTCCTCTGGAGCTTAAGGTGCTCCATGGGAGTGAAGGTGTGGCGTGTAATAGCGCATGCAATGCTTTCGGTGACCCCCAATATTGCTGCAGTGGAGCTTATTCGACTCCAAATGCGTGCAAGCCTAGTTCTTACTAGGAATATTTCAAAGTTGCGTGTCCTACAGCTTATAGCTATGCCTATGATGATGGAACCAGTACCTTCACTTGTGCCAGTGCCGATTATGTTATTACTTCTGCCCTAACCCTTCCATCAGGTACTAATGGCATTGCATGTTCCTTGGAGCAATCTGGCATTAACCAATCATCATCAGATTGAACTTATTCGAAATTTGTTACCAATGTCGATTTTTCGTTTGCAGTATCAAGTCGTCCAACTCCAATCCTGTGGCAGTCCATGTCTCGGCTGGTTCTGGTCCTGCATCATCAGCTCTCATTGCCGGTGCATTCACCACTTTGGCCGCAGTATGGCAGTTTTGGCATTTCTTGAAACTATTGTAAAATATACGTACAAAAAGGAGAAACAGATATATACCAGACATCACTAGAGCTGACAAAGGTGGAGGGCTTATTTTGAATCGATCATTAGTTGCAGGAAAAGACAGTGATTAGTTCGCTAACGTTAATGTTTTGTTCGTTTTGTCATTTGTCTCCATTCGTTCTACGGAGTGCCTTTTTTTTACGTTTTATTGCTGTTGCCATGTCTGATGACTTAATGATTTGTTTAGTTAAGATACATGGTGTGGATTTGGCTGTCACAAGCTTAATTATTTTACCAAATGTTCTGATTATTATATAATTTATTGCATCTGATCTGATGTTTAAGTATAGTTTTCAATTTCTTATAAGTTGATCCGAGTATATTAATAAATGTGCATTGTAAATTTAAAAAAGTAGCTACTAGCTAGTCATAAGTATCGATGAAAGTTGGATACACTAATAAAATATTCCTTTTACGTATAATGTCAAAATTAAACTCAACGTTCTTTGAATGACCATTTCTTGACTAAACTTTCATTTCTACCAAATTTTTTCAGTACATTCAGGAATCATTCTAGCGACCAATCATTTTTCGAACGCAAATCTTATATACAAATATTTAAACAAAATAAAAACTCTTCATAGAATTCTATTAGCATTTTGCTGAAGAAGAACCTGGTGTAGATGTAGCAATGGATCGTTTGCTTTCATGAATCCTGATATAAACATTTCTGGTTCTGATAGCCAACAAAACATCCAGCCCCAATCCCAGAACGCATGTTACAGTCATAACCACAAATACAAGGCAGTAACAATGTGCCCCAACACAGGTGTTACCTCCACCAGCAAGAGGAGTGGCCTGGGCATCATATAAATACCCAGCAAGCAGTCCAGAGAAAAGAAACGATCCCACAGGAAGATTGAGGATAAGGATGTTGTACAAAAGACCATAATATTTTAGTCCGAACAACTCCGAAGCAACCGGGACTGTTATCGTCAATTGAACCCCGTAGCATATCCCGACCAGAATCGAGCCGATGTATAGTGAGCCTGGAAGGGCAAAGGCCATGACGATGTATCTAACAGCCATTATAACTTGAGATGCTGCATTCCATAGAGGCCTTGGCGTCCCAAATTTCCTGCAAGTATCAAATTATTTTGTTGAGATTGAAGGATTTGGAGCTGGGAGGAGAAGGAAAAGAAATTTGATTACCAGATGAAGTATTCTGACAATAAACCTGAAGCAATGCGTCCAAAGAAGCCCCAGATGCTAGTAAGAGATATGAAAATGGATACATCAGAGTATCCGAGAGCTATCCCCATATGTCCCATGTTGTTCATCACACACAGTCCTGTTCCAACACCGCAGAGAAATGAGACAAACAATACCCAGAAATCGAATGTTTGTATCATCTCGAACATTGTATGGTCCTGTCCGATAGACGGATGTTTTCGTCCAAGATACTGCAGCTCAACACCAGAAGTTGTCATTGTCGTTGCCGTTGCTGTTGTCTTCGACTTCTTTGATTGGTCCACTAGCAATGGCGTTTTCATCGGTTGCTCAATATCGGAATCAGACCTTGGTTTGGACAGAATAGAATATAATGGGATTCCCAATGGAGTAGCTAATAGGATGAGAAGTCCTGCTGCAAATACCAATGATAGAAGCTGGCCATGACTTCCAGTGATGTCAAACACCAAAAGGTAGACAGCTAATGTGATAGCTATGCCATTGAAGATGTGGAAATATTGAGTTTCTTGTTGGAATTCACTTGGCTTTGAAGCTGGAGGGGTTTCATGGAGGACGATGACAGCAACGAGGCAAACAATGGCTAGAATGAAGAGCAATGTTGAAGGGTCTGAAGAAGAGAGCCGTCATATATCTGTGAATATTGCAGTGCCGAGTCCAAGGTAGCCCTTCAGGATCCCGGAGACGGCCTCGATTTTTTGGAAAATTTCGCATGCAAGTCACTAGAACCGCTGTGTTCATCCATGTCGTGCTATTGCCTCCAAGACACATGAATATACACATCTGATATCGATCATGTAATACAGTAATACAAAGTTAGCTAAAGTATTGAAGGCAGACACGTGACACATCATATGCGTCCATTATAAGCACTGTATAACAACAAGAAGCTTACCTGCCAGTATGGAAGAGAACGAATTCTCTGGCTAACAACAAGCCATTGAGCTCCATATCCTATAAGCCCTTCGAACTGCCGAATCAAAAAAATTAGATCATATAATTTTGTTTCGGCTAAGTTCACGAGTTGGAGATAAACGGATTTGAACCGCTGACATCCGCCACAGGGTAAACCACGCCTCTCAGGCCCCCGACTGATCCCCGACTGATTCTACCATAGAGGCTAACGATAGACAATAACTCCCCCGAACACAGCTTACAACTTTCATCGTACTGCAACTCTTCTCAAAATCTCAAAAGGTGCTGAGTTGGAATCTCATTCTAACTAAGGATTCTTGAGGTTCCGGAGGATCCAGCTACAGGAAAACCAGGAACGGACAGCTTTCTCCCTCCGACTCTTTGATCTTAAGAATGCTGGTTTTAAGAATGAGTAATTGCCCTTCTCCGACCTTGGAGAATAATATTGGCAGTTGGCCGTTGCTCTTCATAGTTTTCGTTTTACCTTGAGTATGGTGTCGAAATTACACAAAAGTCGGCTGCCGCTTAATGGTTTTCAAACCCACGACTGGAACCTCCGGAAAACCGAAGTTGTAAGCTTACTTGGTTGCTTAATAAAGTGGATCGCTATTATTAATCCGTACATACAATAAATAATAGATACTTGTCTAATTATGTTTTAGTCCCCTATTATAAAATTTTGTCCTAATTAAATAAGTTAAACCTTTTATTTTAATTTTTTTATTATTTTAGTGTTTGTTATTCTACTAAATTACTGGTTCTTCTCTAATAAATGTTATATTACTTTCTTGATATATAGCAGTTTAACAGTAACTGTTGAAAAATAATTGAATGAATTAATACTATTTATAATTAATTAATAATAAGTCATGTCATTTTGTGAATGTTATTCAACAATTCTCTTCATGAAAAGATTAAACCATTTTATAAAAAGGTTAAGTCATTTCATAAAAAATATAAGTCCTTTAATCAAAAGGTTAAGTTATTTAGTCAAAATGTCTTAACCCTTCAATCAATTTCCTCCTCTATAAATAGGTTAGTTAAGGCATAAATCCAAGATATAAATTTGAAACACAATTCACAACGTTTAATTAGGAAAACACTTAAAAATTCCTTCCAATTTCATTCTTTTCGGTGATAGAGAAATGCAAGAATGTGTTCGACTGATCACTACGGTTGTGTTTATTGTTGTGATCGTTTATTGTTGTATTTTGGGAGACCGACGTCCAACGTTACTCAAAGCACCAAGGAAATGACAAATTTGTCTTAAGGAAACTGTTCATACATGCCTCCGATTTATCTTACTCTACTCATCTGATTTAGTGTCTACATACGAGTAAACAAATTAAATTCGTTATTTTAATTCTTTATTTATTTGTTTCATTCGATTATATAATAATATTTACTATTATTATTATTATCTCGGATTAACATTTTATCTAACAGTAACATGTTGCTACTTTATGAAACAGTCTCACTTCATCTTATGGTATTGCAAAAAGAGATTAAATTTGATGTAATTTTTAAATATAAATGATTAAATTTATAGAATTGTTTCAAATTAAGATCAAATTAATAAAATGTATAATTTGTAAGGATTAAAACTATTATTATAACATTATATTTTTGTGAAATTTTTTAATGATAACTTTTTGAAGGAAATTGTTATCAAACTCATAATTGAGTAACCTGAAATATATTTTACTCGATTATTGAAAATAATACTAGAATAATTTCATATCGGCACACTAACAACAACAACCACGAGTATTAGTTTGAATTTATTGAAAATATCAATCGAATTATGTCAGATTTAAAATAGAGGGATTAAATCTTAAATTTAAAGGGCTTAAACATGATTAGACTTATAATTATTCTATTGGTAGCCATTGGGTCGTCAGTATGGTAAGATGATTAGACCATCGTAAGGAAAAATTATTCTTCTCATATAAACGTGACACAGAAACAACGAAATTGAGATAATATAAAAGTAGCACACTGTATTACAAAATAGATAAACATATAAAAAATGTATAAGTTACATTTTTTTTTGGATAAGTTAAAATTTATTACCCAAAGGAACAAATTCTACTACAAAACAATCATCAATGAAAAACAACCTAAAAGCAACTGAAAGTCGAGAACAATCTATTCACAAAACAAGTATAAGTTATTCAATACTCCAATTCTTACAAAGAGTTATATTGACACTATCAAGTATATTAATATTCCGACCTCTAAGTTGAGTTCCGACTATCTCCTTGATAACTTTAAGAATTTCAGCTTCATTCCTGGAGTTTCCTTTGAACAACCTTCTGTTTCGTTCCTCCCATAGAGAATAGAGAAATGCACACAATGCAAGTTTCAAAATAGTGATAAGTAAAGATTTACCTTTCCAAGCATGAGAAGCCGATGCTAATAAGTTGTTCCAGGACGAAGAAGATGGCCTTAATCCTGAGAGATGCAGAATGGCCTTCCAAAGGGAATCCAACAATGAGCATTCGATGAACAGATGGTCTCTCGTCTCCATATCATCATTGCACAGAACACACAAGCCATCGGATAAAATGCCCATATGTTGAAGCCTATTCTTAGTTGGAAGTCTATCCAAGATAGCTATCCAAGCAATCATGTTGTGTTTTGGTATGTGTAGAGGAAACCAGATTAGATTATGCCAATTAACTTTGTCTCTCTTTACTCTAGTCGTATCCCATATGACGCGAGTTGTCAATGCTCCTGCAGAAAAAACAGTTTGTGCTTCTCTTTTAAGGCTTAGCAGTTTTCTCAAGCTCCAACTAGCATTAGTACCACATTCTGACTGCCAGAAGTCTTTATCTTTTAAAACATAGGATTTGACCCAAGCAACCCATAGTGAGCCCTTTCCTGCTAAGATGTTTCGAATGAGTTGAATCATACACGCTTTGTTCCATGTTTTTAAGTCCTTTAAGCCAAGCCCTCCTTCAGATTTCAAGTGGCAAATCAATTTCCAGCTAACTCTAGCTCCAGTGGCAGCCTTGTCAAAACCTTTCCAGAGAAAGCGAGAGCAGAGTTGCTCGGATCTGTTTATAATAGACTGCGGTAAAAATAACTGCCTGCACTAGTAGTTAGCAACACTAAATAAGACAGCTCTGATAAGTTCGAGTCTTCCTGCATAAGATAAGTGTTTTCCTGACCAGTGATGGAGCTTGGATTTGATTTTATCAATGAGGACTACACAGTCCTTTTCAGATAGTTTTCTCGTTACTAGGGGCACCCCCAAGTATCTCACAGGTAGGCTACCATGTGTGAAGCCTGTGATTCTGTGAATTGTCTCTGTAATATTTATTGGGATACCAACAGCATAAAATTCACATTTGGCCGCATTAAGCTGTAGTCCAGACAGTTCATAAAATTTGTCTATGACACTGATGACTCCAATAACAGATTCCACATTTCCTTTACAAAAGATAAGTAGATCATCCGCAAACATTAAGTGAGTTAGACATATCTTCTTGCATTTAGGGTGGAAGCCAAACATACCTCTTACCGCAGCTAAGTTTAGAAGTCTTGAGAGCACATTCATTGAGAGAACAAATAAGAAAGGAGATAGGGGGTCACCCTGCCTAATACCCCTTGTGCCCTTGAAGTAGCCAATCAGACTGCCATTGAAGGAGATGGAGTATCTAGCTTCTGAGTAACAAGCTTCAATCCAGGTGATGAAAGTCGGTGGAAGTTCCATAGCATTTAGGACTTAAATTTAAGAGTATTTTTTAATTCATCCCTAAAATCTTTTTAAAATCTATATTAATCTTTAAATTTGATTATTTTCTATTCTTGACTCTTTTATTCTGTATTAGTCCCAACTTGATCCTCAAACTTAAATTTTTATCATACATTTTATTTTTTAACGACTAATTCTTAACAAAGTCCAAATTCAAAGAATATATTAAAAAGAATTATTAATTTCAGAATACTAATATGTACCCAAAAAATAAAGACTAAACTGAAAGAAATTATATAAATTTAAGAAGTGAATGTTAGTTTATTCAGATTTATATAATATGAATAATTGATGAGAACCATGAGTGAGCAAAACACTGATGTGAAAACCAGAGTTAATAGAAATGGTTCTAGGTGTTTCCTTATTCCTTCCAGAGTCATCTAGTCCAGTAAAACGGCGTCGTAATCTTCTTTAGGGCCCACTTTCATTTCTCGTGGCAACAATGGCTCTCTGCATTGTCCGTAGCCTATATATATTCGAAGAGCACCTGTTGTTCAAATCAATACTTCGTCGTTTTCTAATTGGCAACTCATCTCCTTCATTTCAAGTAAGGAACCAGATTTGTAAATTGTAAGCCTAAAATTCTTCACTTTCTCTGGATCCTTCCTTCGTTTCTCTTCGCCATCGTTCCACCATGGTGCTCGAGGTAATCCAGAACCTCAATTTCACTTTTCTACCCCCAAATTTCAAGCCTTTCAATTTCCTTTCACTTAAATTGTTTTGATCTTAAACTTTTGTGCACTCGCAGGCAACGATGATCTGCATTGATAATTCGGAATGGTGATTACGCTCCCTCTCGATTTCAGGCTCAAGCCGATGCTGTCAACCTTATTTGCGGAGCTAAAACTCAGGTAAACAGGATTTCAACAAACGAAACAATTTTTTTACACAAAATGCAGATTTGAGCTTTTATTGAATTTGAGGATTTAAAAAAGAAACAAGGTTTGAGCTTTTATTGAAATGGAGGATTTCGTTTTACAGTCTAATCCAGAGAATACAGTGTTTTGGTCACTCCTACAAGTGATCTTGGCAAAATTTTATCTTGCATGCACGGTTCGTTTCTTAGCTTATTTTAGCTTTATATTCCAATTCTCTTTAACATTGTATCATACTAAAAGTTTCTAAATTGGAGCTTTGGCTTATCAAAATCTTGGCTTAGAAATAGGTGGTGAAATGAACTTGGCAGCTGGGATCCAAGTGGCTCAGTTGGCACTTAAGAATCGACAGATAAAAAGCAGCAGCAAAGGATTATTGTCTTTGCTGGAAGGTGCGTTTTTGGTATTGTCGTTAACTGTTAACTGAGAAATGTTTTCTTTCTATGTTTTTGGTTGTAAAGATGTGCTTTGATTGCTTGCAGCCCTGTCACGCATGACAAGAAGGCGTTGGAGATGATTGGAAAGAAGTTGAAAAAGAACAGTGTAGCACTTGATATTGTACATTTTGGTGAAGATGATGAAGGGAAGACAGAGAAGCTTGAAGCACTTCTTGCTGCTGTTAACAATAATGATACTAGTCATATTGTTCATGTTCCTGCTGGTCCTAATGCTCTCTCTGATGTACTTACAAGGTTAGTGATTCAGGTGTTTTCTCTTTCCTGAATGCTAATTGGTCATAATTGTGATATTATTGCTGAAGTTGTATGTTTCTTGCATCCATGGCAGTACCCCAATCTTCACTGGGGATGGGGAGGGTGGAAGTGGTTTTGCAGCATCGGCAACAGCAGCTGCAGCTGCAGCGGGTGGCATCTCAGGTTTTGAGTTCGGTGTGGATCCCAACCTTGATCCGGAACTGGCCCTTGCTCTTAGAGTTTCAATGGAAGAGGAGAGAGCCAGGCAAGAAGCAGCTGCTAAAAAGGAAGCAGAGGAGGCATCAGAACAAGATGCAACAATGACTGAACGTGCCAGTGAGGGACCTTCAGAAGCTGATAATAAGAAAAATGGAACTCCAGTTAGTATCATTATACTCCTATTTAATTATGCGTTTGATTGGATAGAGCTGCTTCAAGTGGAAAAATCATTTCATAAAATGGCACATGATTGACCCTTACACATTCTTTCATGTTGAGATACAACTGATCTTGCGTTTGTTACAGGATGATGATAATGCTCTACTACAACAGGCTCTTGCGATGTCAGTGGATGAGCCTGCCTCTTCCCAAGATTTACAGGATACTGAGATGTCAGATGCAGCTGCTGAGGACCCAGAGCTAGCATTAGGTAAGTGTGTGTGTCCTTTTTTACAAGTGCCCTCTGGAGAATCAACAACATTTCTAACAACTGTTCCTTGCCTTATGAGAAATCCAGTTACATAGGTGTTAGGAAAAATCCAGTTCAAGGGCTGAATTGTTTTTTCCCTAAAAACATTTATGGGATTTTTAACCCTTAAGCGAAGGTTAAAATTATTAGGAAAATAAAGATTGTTATGTCCATTTCTAGTGAATAATTGGGAAGGTTAAAATTTCTTGTGGCTTTCCACATCTTCAGAAAGATTCACCTTTGAAGATGATGCGTTCTAGAGCAGGAAACGATATAAATTTAAGCCTATTTTTTGGCATTCTACCATTCAACTCAGTTACGTCAAGATTCCATATATTACTATCTCATTCCTTACTTTTCAATGCATCAGTCGTTATCATACATTTTTTTTTTATAAATTATCTGATTACAAAGTAATATTTATTTATAATATCTCTTGGTCATTATCATACATATACAAGATTCTTTTATTGAATCTTATCGATGGTATAAATCATGATTAGTATTGAACTGCAAATCTAATTAATATAAATAAAGAGCAATTTATCCTATTCTTATTAGCTCAAGTTAATTTAACAACTTATTGTTCTAGTACATCTAGCTTATCTATCCTAAGTCTTCTTGGTTAGAGGCTTCTAGCCCACTCTACATATTTTATTATTCATTTAACTTTTTTTGTTTGTAATTTTCTCTTTCATAATTCTTCAAAAACCAAACTAAAGAGCGAGAACAAGAACAGGTCTACAAATTGCTCCATCTGTTAAGTGTTTAGCATCTATTGTAACAACTAAAGACTTGCAATATATTGCAAACGGAGTAATTTAGGTTGGAAGGATTTTTTTTCTATAAGTAGATTTTTGTAATATCCGATTCGAATTAATCGATTAATGGCTTGAATATTAATAGTTAAATAATAAACAAATAATTACAAATGGTTACTTGAAATCAATAATTCACTTATGCTATTTGAATGTGTGTGAAATAAATATTTCTTAAAAAAATTCTCTGTATAAATGTCAAGAAGAATAATGTTTAGGCTTTAAGGAAAAATAAACTTTTTTCTCTCATTGATGATGCACATACATTGAACGGATCGAAACTATGATTTTGTCTGTAAGAGGTAGAGCCAAAACCAAGGGCATACGTGTCGTTGTAGTTTTGCCCTAATCTTATATTTGGCGGGGACTTTCACGGATTCATCATTTTACGTATCGAAGTTAAGAAAACCATTTATTTCATCCCCATTTAATACTAACTTCCCATATAGTACTGCGCTTTGGCGGCAGCCAGCAAATGGCAAGAAGTTGGTTTGTTTTGTCTTTTTGTTATTGCCATTTATGATGCTTGCTACTGTCTGCTCGGTATTTATAAGTGTAACAATGACATTGACAACAACGCGGAGAACTGGATTATTGCTGAGAAAAGATGAAGAAAATGATACAGCATGAGATTTTTTCGGCTTCCGCTTTTGTTGTTCTTGTTTGTTGTTTTTATGTGAGGACAGTTGAAGGAGTTTATGTGAAGTACGATACCGGAGCCCGGATTGTTACCGGGAAACTGAACGTTCATTTGGTTCCACATTCTCATGACGATGTCGGTTGGTTGAAGACTGTTGATCAGTACTGTGTTGGATCAAACAACAGCATTCAGATTGATTCATATTATTTTTAGCAGTTCACCATGTTAATTGCTATTACTCTGTGATGTTTGATGCTTTTAAGTGATTTTCTTGTGCAGGGTGCTTGTGTTCAGAATGTGCTTGACTTGGTTGTCGAAGCATTGCGTCGTGATCCGAATCGGAAATTTGTTTCTGCTGAAATGGTAAATCCATCCGGGTCATCAAATCGGAATCTATTTCCCCTCTTGTTTCTCTTCTAGTTTCGAGTTTGATTGTTACTCGGCATCGAATAATGAATTTTGATATGAAAATAGGCTTTTTTCCAACGGTGGTGGACAGAACAAAGTCCGGAAATACAAGAACAAGTGAAAAAACTTGTAGATGCAGGCCAACTGGAATTCGTGTATGTTGATTACCAAGCAACTTGATATCTAAAGTTTTGATTATTGCATATATATTGAAACCGGCCTTTTGGGATGTTTTTGCAGTCATGGTGGTTGGTTTATGCATGATGAAGCTGCAACACATTACATAGACATGATCGATCAAACAACTTTAGGCCATCGCACAATAAAGGAACAGTTCAACAAGGTTCCTAGAGCCGGATGGCAAATCGATCCTTTTGGTCATTCTTCTGTGCAAGGCTACCTCCTTGGTGCTGAGGTGCATCTCAACAGTTTAGCTGCTTTATGTTTCCACCATTTAGTCTGGAGAATGACACATTTTGGGTGATTACATTGTTCCTGCAGGTAGGTTTCGATTCAGTGCATTTTGCAAGAGTTGATTACCAGGATAGAGAACAAAGGAAGAACGACAAATCTCTCGAGGTTATATGGCGAGGATCCAACACTTTTGGCTCTTCATCTCAGGTTTGGAATTGAAAAATCCTGCAATTTTAACCTTTTCTTTCTGCAAGGAGTTTCATTGAATTAATAGTTTACTTGTTGGGCTATCTGCAGATTTTTGCAAATGCTTTTTCCGATCGTTAGGGCCCTCCAACCGGTTTTCATTTTGAAGTGAATGATGACTGTGTGTCTGTCCAGGTTCTGTGATGTTTTAACAAGAGTGATTTATGTATGGACTGT